AGCCAGCACATGCTGGAAGCCAGCTTTTAAACCTGCTCCCAGCATAAACCAGCTCCTGACTGCCCCCCTCTGCTGCTGACTGATACAGAGGCAACAGCCAGCTCCCCAGGAGCCGGACCAGGAGCTACGTGTAACCCTTTGGGTAACCAATAAGCTCATGCTTATTCCTAACCCGTTTAAATGGCTACATGCCTACATCCCTCGTATAAAGGTTCAAAACTTTCATCCTTCAGCAGTAATCTTTAAACACACCCAGAGGGACACCCTCATCTATCAACATGCAGCTGGGCCCCGCAGCGCTCTCATCCACCCCTGCTACCAGGGACTGACTATTCCTAAAACACTAATGAAATGCCAGAACTTGATGAAGCCTGCTGTCCCATCTTAGCACACCATGCAGTTTCCATACTCAGATACAACCCTTAAACATTTTGGTCAACCTGCCCCTAGCTCTACCACATTTCTCTCAACCAATAAATTTATCTGTAATTGGCAATGTGAGGGCAGGGGAGCATGTGGTAGACTAAACAAGTCTTTAATAAATGGTGTAAAGGCACACAATTTCATCAAGAGCTAGGGTTGGTAACAAGTAAGCTTTTCCCCTAACAGGTGAGGATTACTAGTTACACTTAACCAGTGGGGGCCACTCCAGCCTGGCCAAAGCAGCCTCTGTCCACAGTGGGCTTGTCCTGGCTGTGGTGAGCAAGAAGCGGCCACTCCAGCCCATCCGTGGCAGAGTGGCTCGCCCCATTTAATCACATGGGGTCCCATAGAAGAGAGATGAAAAAGACTGGGACTTTTCAGCTTAGAAAAAGAGGAGACTAATGGGGGGGATGGAAAGAAATATGGTAGAAGTCATAAAATCATGATTGGCATGGAGAAACTGAATAAGGAAAAAGTTATTTTCTTGTTCCCACAACAATCACCAAGGGTCACCAGATGAAATGAATAGGCAGCAGGTTTAAAACAAACCAAGGGAAGATTTTCTTCACACAGTGCACTGTCGGCCAATGGATCTCCTTGCCAGAGGAGGCTGGGAAGACCAGGACTTGAATAGGGTTCGAGAAAGAACTAGATACATTCATGGAGGTTAGGTCCATCAATGGCTATTAGCCAAGATGGGTAGGAAACGTGTCAGTAGCCTCGTTCAGAGGCCGGGAATGGGAGAGGGATCGCTTGAATATTGCCTGTTCTGGTGCACCATGTCATTATGGTGAATTGCTGCTGCGTGTTTTCACCTTAGCCCCTGTCTTTGTAAGATGTTCACAATATGTGATAACTATCCAATGAAATGCCTGGCTAAAGAAGGATTCAGTGTCTATTTGCTGCTGACCATGGAGAACTGTATTCAGCTCTCTACTTGCTTGTGTGGATGCATCACCGCAAGCTCTGTAATGTAGCCAATCTAATCCGACGGGAGAGATTTTGCATCAGATTGAAACACTCCTCCTCCCCAAGAAGCTCTCGCCAACATAGTGCTGTCCACACCGGTGCTCAAGTTGATGCAGCTTATGTTGCTCAGGAAGGTGGCTTAGTCACACCCTGGAGCAACATAAGTGGTAGTGTAGACAGAGCCAGACTGTCAACTCTTTGGGGCAGGGACTTGGTTTTTTTGCTCTATGCGTGCATAGCATCTGCCACAACAAGGTCCTGGTCCAGGGCCATGGCTCTTCAGAATTATGGTAATGCACATAGTCAGGGACTATTAAGTGTTTCACTTCTAAGTTTAGGTTTGAAGGAAGCCTGGGGCAATTGTGACTGATGATAGTTTGGTACTACGCAGTGTACGAAGTGAGGTGAACTTGTACTAACTAGCTCATTTTCTGGTGCTCACATCTCACTCATATACAATCTCACAATCTCACTCACCTATCCTAAAAACCTGACTGGCAGCCTCAGGAAAAGCAAGAGACGGAATAATCCTTGGAGTCTGAATCATCATGTCCTCTGAGAGGCCATTCCACCAGATAAAGTCGAGGAACCTTGGTGAGGGCAGCACATGGGCAATACATACTACTACAGGTCTTGGTTTGTGCTAATCACCCAGAACTTTAAGTTTGCAGGGCTGCAAATTTAGCAACTCACAAACAGCAAGTTGCCACCACATGGTAAATTAATTTACAAATACTGTGTGCTCAAATCTGCAAGTTTGCTACAATATGGAAATATTGCACATTGTGTACCTGGGGAAAAGGACATGAGGAAGTTAGAAATGCTGAGCAAACATTTTGAAGACCCAATTCTACAGTCTGAGTCACTGAGAGCTCTTCCTGAGCAGAGTAGTGTTAAGATGGCAGGATTTAGCCACTGCATGGTAAATCTGAGAAGGTAAACAAAAGCCAAAACAAATTTTGCCCTTGAATAGCAACTAGAGACAGCAGTAGGTACACACCCTTAAAAAACAAAACAAAAACAAACAAAAAAAAAAAAACACACACCCCAAAAAGCTGCATCTGGTTTTTAATCCACCTTTTATTTTACTCTCAAAATACCAAAAACAGACACCATAACCAAGAAGTTATGGTATTTCAGACTTTATAAGGAAAGCCATTAGGAGGTACAATAGCTAAAGATAAGTGAAACTGACTACAGACCCCAACCTCTGTTCTAAAATCTGATTTGTCAATTTTGTATGTGTTCACTTTTTTGATTGTATCCCTTTGGTAAATATGGTCATGCCAATTGTCTTCCAAAATTTGATCTGAGGAAGTGGGTCAGGCCCACGAAAGCTCATCACCTAATAAACCATCTGGTTAGTCTTTAAAGTGCTTTAAAGTGCTGCATAGTCCTGTCTTTTCTTTCAGCAAGACCAAACTAACATGGCTACATCAGAAGGGAACCTGATTAGCCTACTTTTGGGCCACCAGTCAAATGAAGAATAAAATGTAAGAGCATGAAACACAAGAATAGATTTAAGAATCTAATATTTTTGGCCCAAAACAATCCACTTAAGGAACTATCAACATTTGAGAAGCAATGCATGTTGTTGTAGCACAGCAGATCTAACAGGCAAATCTTACAGCCTTAATGTTTTGTCCTGTTTACATATGGAAAGCTACAGCCCTACAGCAGGCTGTATTAAGTGTTTAATACAGCCTCAAAGTCAGACAGCACCACACTGTAAGGAAGTCCTATTTTTCTGAGGGATGCTGCATTACAAGGTATGGTGTACTGTAAAAGCATAATAGCTGTATAAATTATAGACTTTTTATCAATCTTTTAACAAACACAGACACATTATTAAAACGCTGTAAAAATGGTCTCAATGTTGACTTATGGACTGAACAAAAGATAAATAAAAATGTCAAATCCAAATGCACCAGCTGTAAAAAATTAATCCAATTGTTGGGGGGGAGAGGGGGAGGAGTGAGAAATCACTAAAATCAGACAGCTAGTGCAAGCATAACGAGTGGTCTGCATGCCACAAATGTTAGGGCACTAGGGCAGTTCTGTGCACAAGTAGGAAACAGATGTATTGGACCCTCAGGGTGCATCTAGACAGTGGCACTATTTCGGGTTACTTCCGGTATCCCGAAATAACGTTCTCCGTGTCTTGACAGCATGCCTGTTATTTTGAAATAGCAGGTGCGCTATTCCAACATCCCTGCAAACCTTGTTCCATGAGGATTTAGGAATGTTTCAGAATAGTGCTCTATTTTGAAATTTGGTGTAGTGTAGACAGCACCAAATTTTGAAATAAGCTATTTTGAAATTAACTCGTAATAAGCTTGCAATTTGCGTAGCTCAAATTGTGTAGCTTATTTCGAGCTAAGGATGCAGTGTAGACGCACCTTCAGTGACAGAACCTTGACTTGCCTAGAAGATACGTGTTACTGTAATCTCAGTGATTCTTCACAAAACAGTAAAGCCATCGCAACCATATCGACACAGTTCTCTTTCTGAGCAATAACTGCATTACTGATTCTTCTTTAAAGAGACACCATCAACTTGAAATCTCTCTCCTTCCCCCCGCAATGTCAATTCATAACAGATGCTATGGTAGTTTGAGTCCTCAGGACAGTTTTTGTGGTTTTGCAACCATGTCTTCTTACTTCAGAAGTTTCTCTTGTGCCTGTTTCTCTGAGGAACCCTCCCTCTGCCCCACAAAGTATCAACAGCTGCCCTGCAAAATAGTGAAACAAACAATAGCAAAATAAACTATAAGACACACACGCACACACCCCTTAAATAGTCTTTTGTTCTAGGTAGCACCCACATTTATAAATATTTCAGGAAAGTTCTGAAACAAACATGACAAATTGACAGTGTCCCTTTAAATTAAATCTGAAAGGTTAAAAATTAGTACTGAGTCAAGATTCTTTATTGATCTTTACCTAGCAGAAGCAATGGATTCAAACTTACAGCCCCGAATTCAGGCAAAAGATCTATTGAACTAAATAGGAGTTTTGTCTGAGGACAAGCTGTACCTTTAACTGATGTAATCTGCTGCAGATTACAATGACCATTTACTCCAAATTAGCAAACAGACTCTCAGGACACAGAAATTGGCACACTTGACAGTTTCAAAAGTCATTATTTACCCACCTTCCCATAGTTTTACATTCAAAGTATTTTACAAACACTAGTTGTTAAGAGCACATTGCCTACATTAGAGGACTGAACACAAGCAATGCCAACATTTTAATGATCTAAGAATACCACTTGAAATTCCTTTCTTCTGTTATTAATGTTTATTGCGTCACTCCTTTAATTAGCAGACAGATTGAGCACATAAATTCATGCAAACAGCTAAAAATATAAACACATACGGTGAAAAATGCCCACATGCTGACTACCACCTACGTCCACCTACTACAAACCTTCGCTACATAAACAAGAATACTATTCAGTGCCACGCTGCTCACATCACGGGATAAGTTTATAGCGCCGAGCAGAACAGAACACACTTTGGGCGGCTGGGAATAGTAACTTTCCCGCATGGAGAAGAGGATTAAGCCAGCAGAAGAAAGGAAAGCTGAAACACAACCAGCAGCCCTCACCCAGTACCGACACGCACTGACTGGCTGGCTGCATCGCCCTGGCACTGGGGAGAGCGGCAGGCATCAGGGGAAGGCTGCCCCCGGCCAGGGAGAAGAGGAGGGCTACCCCATCCCGCCCGCTCAGGATGGCAGAAATGGTGGGGAAGGGTGCAGCTGGCAGCAGGCATCAGGGGAAGGCTGCCCCCGGCCAGGGAGAAGAGGAGGGCTACCCCATCCCGCCCGCTCAGGATGGCAGAAATGGTGGGGAAGGGTGCAGCTGGCACAGATGAGGCAAGGGAAGCAGGCTGCTGGACCCCCTCCCA